ACTACAGACCTGGCCTCTATTTTCCCTGACATTCAAGGCTCTCCATCAGCAGCTCCTACTTGTTCTATCTGCTCCTCAGCCAGAGCTGTCCAAAGATAGCCCTACCTGGAATCTCTACTTGAATGCCCCCGGGTATCTCAGATTCCCCATATTCAAGTTCACCTTCCTTCCTGAGCCTGTCACTCCTCTTGTGACCTCTGTGGAGCTTCATGGCAGCACCAACTGTATCCTGAACATTCTCTTCCTTCTTCTCTTCCCGCCATTTCCACATGTGTACTTCTCATCAGTAGCAAATGATCTACCTGTGTAATACTTCCTGGAATCTGGCCCCCATGTGTCCCTGTGGCTTTCTTTCTCAGCACTGCCCACCCAACGCGCCCCCCACAGCCATACTGAATCACCTGTAGCTGCCCAAACACTTCCTGCTTTTTCATCTCTCGTTGCCCAGACTTGTCCTTATACCTGGGATGCCGTTCTCTTTTCGCTCAGACACAACCTCTTCTGAAAATCCTCTGAGCCCCTGGGGGTGTCCCTTCTCTAGACATCCCTCAACTGTGTCACATCAAGGTGGTGGCATTTCTTTACCCATCTTCCCTCCAGACTATGTGCTGCCCTATGAGCCTACCACCAATGGTTTTTTGGTGTTTTTGGGACAGTCTTGCTCCATCACCCAGGCTGGAGTGCAGTGGTACAATCTCAGCTCACTATAACCTCTGCCTCCCAGGTTCAAGCAGTTCTCCTGCCTCCACCTCCCGAGTAGCTGGGATTACAGGCACATGCCACCACACCTGGCTAATTTTTGTATTCTTAGAGGCGGGGTTTCACCATGTTGGTGAGGCTGGTGTCAAACTCTTGACCTCAGGTGATACATCTGCCTTGGGCTCCCAAAGTGCTGGGATTACAGGCTTGAGCCACCGCGCCCGGCCTTATCTAATGTTTTTTTAAATCTTTGTGTCCACAGCGTTTGGCACATGGCAGACTCCAGAGTGTGTCCCGGACAACCCCAGCCCCTTCTCTGAACCCTTGTGATATACATTTCCCTAGTAAGCTCTTCATGAACATGTGGCATGGGAGGTTGGTGGAGTTTGTGTTTCTTTCTTTCTTTCTTTCTTTTTTTGAGACTGGGTCTCACTCTGTCAGCCAAGCTGGAGTGCAGCGGTGTGATCTCAGCCCACTTCGGCTTCAACTTCCTGGGCTCTTCCCACCTCAGCCTCCTGAGTAGCTAGGACTACAGGCATGCACCATCACACCCAGCTCTTTTTTTTTTTTTTTAATAGAGATGAGGTTTCGCCATGTTAGC